ACCCCTCCACCAGCTCATCACGCCTCTCCTCACCCCCTGCAGCTACTGCCACCCGGCGCCGCCTCGCCGCGCCCTGCATCTCTCCGCACCGTCCATCTCACGGCGCTCTTCGTCTCGCCGCTCCCCTAATGCCCTGCATCCGCCTCGGTGCTCCCTGTCCACCTGAAGCTCACCTCTGCATCCCCTCCTGAAGTTTGCTTTTCCCATGGTGAGTGAAACAAGTTTTTTTTACAAGATTGCTTGAATTATCTTCCGACTGATGCCAGAGCTAAATAATGTGCCACATCTCATTTTTTCTCTCTGGAAATGATATGAAGCATATATAGTTAGGTAGATAGATTCTCATGGTGAAAGGTACATGGCGAAGCTTATGCCACTACATACTGCCTGTTATTTTGCACTATTCTTAATTAGAGTATTTGTTCCTATGAAGGAAAAAAAGAAGATGCTGTAGAAAATGACATGATTGCAGTCAAGAATTAGTAGTCAGGAGTCATCTGCAATTAGAACTAACTGGCTAGTGATCCGCTTTTAGAAGATGTCCCTTTTTGTTCATAATAGATTTTAATCTTTTTGGAAACTTGGTGGCGTTTGTACTATTGACCAGCATTGCTGACTCGTATGCACTTTCACACATTGCTGAGTTGTATGCAATTTCACCCTTTAGGTCTAACTAAGGCAAGAAGAGAAGTTGTGCACCAAACTTTGCAGTGAGATAAAATTGCAGCTGAACAAGTATGGGCATGCCAACCATTATAGTGGGACACGCATGCAAGGCGCAACTGGATTGCCAAAACCGACTTAAACAGACTTATAGCCCTAGGTAAAATGACTCTTTTTTCGCTCGCCGTCTCTTCCTCCTCCCCTCCCTCTTCCTCTCCAATCCCCAGAGCCTAGACTCTTCACACAGTACACGCATACGCACTGCACACCAAACTACCGCTAATTCTTACCCTCTCATCTCCTCGATCCGATCTGACCCCCTGTAATCCCAAATTAAGCCGCACAGTACAGTTACCAATTCCCCTCGGCTCCGTTCCGCGAGCAAACCCTCACAAATTTGCTGCTTCTGATTGATCGCATGGTCGGGTAGGGTTTGGGTTGTGGCGTCGGGTTGGACTAGTGTTGTCCCGAGGATTGGTTCGGGTTTTTCTGACTTTAGTGTACTCCGCATGCGGCGGATTGGACGAGGCGGGACAGCTGGTCAGGCTTGGACCTATGGGCAGCACTGGTGAGCCCGATCGGAATCGGCGGCTCTCTGACTCCTTTGTATCTCCCGCCAAGCGCCCAGCGCTTCCGCCTTCCTCCGACGACAAGAAGGTATACGCCTCATTTGAAGTCTCTAAGTAGTTCACTATTGTTAAGGTAGGCAACTGTGTGTTGACTTGTTACTTCAACTGTTTTGATCGTGCATAAGGTAGTCCAGGTCAACGACCTTGCTAGGCAGTGGTGGATCTAGAATCTTGCCAATGTGAGGGCAAGGATGGGATATCATGGTTGAACGGCACAAAAATGGGCATAAATGTATATAAATATGCACTAGTAAAAGTAAATTTGCAAAAAAAAATTGTGGGGGGCATGGCCCCCACCACCCACCCCTAGATCCGCCACTGTTGCCAGGGTAGTTCATGAATCTATAGGAGCTTCTGAAATCTCAATAACAGTTATTACGTCACACAGAGTCATTTTACCTAGGGCTACATGTCTGTTTAAGCCGGTTTTTGGCAATCCAGTTGCGCCTTGCATGCGTGTCCCACTAGCGGTTTGCATGTCCATACTTTTTCAGCCGCAGTTTTACCTCACTGTAAGGTTTGATGCACAACTTCTTTTCTTGCCTTAGTTAGACCTAATTGTCTCGCTGTTACATATACACCTCATTTAGAGTCTTTAGGCAGTCCGCTATTGTTCACGACGAGAAGGTACACTCCTCATTTCAAGTTGTCAAGTAGTTCACGCTTGCTTGCAGTAGGCTGGTTTGTAAAGGCTTGCTACTTCAATTTTATTTGTATCCTTTATTAGGTAGCTGAGTTCAGCGACATTGCCAGGTTAGTTCAGGAGCTTCTCAGATCGTAATATAAGCTCTTTTACCTGGCATATCCGATTTTACCGGATTGGTCAGCCTGCTTGCGTGCAGGATTTACCTTGGAGTGTTGCATGTGCAGCGTACTGACATACGCATGAATGGTTGTCAAATCCGCATTTGTCCAGTCGTAACTTTATCTAACTGCAAAGTGTACTGTACAACTTTACATGTTGTCTCCCTTAGTTAGACCTAAAAAGTCTTGCTGAAATTGTTCAGGGCATGATTGGTGTTATATAGTAAAAGCCGTGTCGCCAGGACATTAGGTAGCTGGGGTCAGCGACATTGCCAGGTTAGTTCAGGAGCTTCTCAGATCGCAATATAAGTTATTTTACCTTGGGCATATCTGGTTTTACTGGATTAGCCAGCCTGCTTGCATTCAGGGTTTACCTTGGAGCGTTGCATGGGCAGCCTACTGACATATGCATGAACAGTTGTCAAATCTGCATTTGTCAATCGTAACTTTATCTCACTGCAAAGTGTACTGTGCAACTTTACATGTTGCCTCCCTTAGTTAGACCTAAAAAGTCCTGCTGAAATTGTTCAACACATGGTTGGTGTTATATATATGGTAAAAGGCGCGTCGCCATGGAAGCAAATCTAGCATGCATTTAGAGAGACGATTGAGGATACAATAACATGTACCTTTGCAAAAAATTGGATATAAATTGCTATTTGGTGTATGTTGCGATGTTTAGACCACCGTGCATATGGATGCACAAAACAGATATATGATCATTAATGCACTTCTATTATTTGCCATACTTTCTTCTGCAGATTTTGTTCTTGCATCGTTCGTTACAGCAGTATTGCCAAGCCGTGCTCATAAACCGGATTTCCTTTGTGCCTTTTCTACACTGCAATTTTCATTAATTATTCTCTATATTTCTATATTTGGTGTTAACTTGTAACTTTCTTCCTGGTTGGCAGCTTGATTTCGCTGTACTTAAATACAGAAACCAAAAGCTTTCAGAACAGCTAGCAGTCCATAAGTTTGAGTACCATGCCCTCGAGGGTAAATTTGACGATCTCAAGCAGAAACAGAAGGCTCACCATGAGACCCAAGATCTAGCTAACAAGTCTTGGGAGCATGTAAGCTAAAACCAACCTTGTTGTTACTGCAAAATACCACAAGGCTTCCTTTTCTTTACGGTAAATGCTATACTTGAACAGCTTGTGAGAGATTTGAAGGCTACTTCTGTTTGCAAAAGTGGATTTCAAAATCCTTCTTGCAGTGCAGGTCCTAGCAACGTGTCTACAGGTATGACTTTCTTCTTACCTGAATTGATTTGATTGTCAGCTAATAATTATTTTTTTCTTCATGTATAAAAAGTTGTAATGGAAGCAGTGTATGTGTCTTCTCCACTCTTGTTAGGATCTGCATGAAGTTTTTTTTTTGCAATCTATGAAGCTTGCACTTTATTGTATTTGATTTATGTTGGTGGTTGTGAAATATCCTAAACTTAGATATTGTGCCAAATATTACAAGATTTAGTTTCTAATTTCTTATTCAGATGGCGCATGCATCCCAAAAGACAAGGACTTCCTTAGCAGACTTGTTGAGACAGGTGCCACAGAAAGTTCAGGTTGCCATTTGGAAAACCATGTACACTCGTCAACTACTGATGTGCTGCAGAATATATTGTTCTCATCAAATGATTCATGGCATGCAAATAAGAAGTCGCTGTTAGATCTCTTTGCGGCATTACCTGAAAATGGTTTGTTCTTCACATTTCCTTGGTAATATTTATTTATTAATTACAGCTAAAGGACTGAAAATTCCATACCCCTTTGGTAACATTACCTTTCTTTGTTTCTTCACTGCAGAGCGTAGTAGGGAACTGCGAACTACTGGTACTGAGCTGTCACTACAGCTTAATGATGCCATACAAGAACTTAGTGATCTCCACTTGAAGCACAGGCGGTTAACAGAGAAGCACCACGAAGAGAGATTTTTAAACGCTCGAAGCAAAGCTGAACAGAAACGCCTTAAAGGTATCTTTGCTTAAACACGAGATGCTTTACGTACATAGATATGGCTACATACGACAGATTGTTAATGTCTTATTATATATATTATTTTGACATCTTTCATACCTGCCAATACCCTTCTGATATGCCGCTGCATCATGCTTTCCACCAAATCTATCAATATCTAACCACCCACTCTCCTTAAATCCCTTCCCACCGACAATCCCTCGACGTGTTCCTACCACCATAACGTTCTTCACCTGTCTGCTGTTCTTGCCTCACGTAGTTGCTACCGCTTCCTACCTCTGGTCAGACATTGACATAGGAAGGTTTAGAGAGGATGAATGGAGATGAGAGGGACGAGAGGGGTCGAGAGAGGATATATAATAGACAGGAGAGAGTTGGAGAGAGATCAGAAGGAATGGAGAGATCTCAGCTGGATTGGGACAAAGAGGCGACTGGAAAAGAGGTCTGGATATGCAAGAGAGGCAGAGCCGGGGGTTCCCTCACTGGAAGCACACTGCATGCTGGACTGAGCCAGGATGAGATGTACTGGCTAGGTAGGAATGTTTATTTTGTTCTGCTAAGATTTCTGTACTTATGCAACAATAATACGCTGATCCTTGTTTTTGAGGATTATCGGATCACTTCAACCGTATTGCATACTAGACCAACCTAGTCACACAGTGGCCCTTCAGACTGATAAGACGCGAGGAACTATTTAGACAATGTTTGCACAGTATATATGTTCCTATGATGTTATTTGCAACTAGTGTTAAGGATCGTCAAATCGACTTGACTGAGATGTTTTTAACTTTTCAAGAGGAGTTGGCAAGTGCTGTTGCTAAGTTGGAAGAAAGCAACCACAAATTGGCAGTCCTCAAAGCACAGGGAGACCCTACACATGGTACTCCAATCTTATTTCCAACTTTAGGAAATAAAAGCTTGCCTGAGGATAATGTCAGAGACAAACAAAAGGAATTGCAGGATCTAGAGGCATGTCACAAGGAGTTTATGGTAAATATTAAGTTTTTTTTTACCTTCCAGTGTTGCCTATGTTTGCTCTGAACCTAATGTAGCTTGCTCTGTTATTTGGATCAGGATCTGATTTCACAACGTTTGGTGGAAATAAGGAGACTTCACGAAGACAGAATTGAAATTTTGAACAAGTTGTCTACCTTCCAGGTTTGCACGTGGCTTGTTTAGGTGTGCCAATACCAAGTGAAGTAATGCTGTTCCACATTTTTTTAGTGTTGTTCCAGGGGTGATATGTAGTACTAGTATTTTCCACCCGTGCTTTGCTGCAGCTTTTTTGGATTTGCTTTCCTGCCAAGTACCAACACTAACGAAAGTAACCCTAGATTATCTGTAGTCTCCAGAGGGTGACATACAGACGTTCAAAAAGAGATGTTTTTTTTTACAAAATCTATATTTTTGATTTTCCATCCTCTCAACTAAAAGATGCCTAATCAAGCATTGTTTAATTATTTTATCTGAGGTTAATATTTTCTTTGAGTTTGATCTATTGGCTACTATTTCAATGATAACATGGCTTAATTGAGATTCCACGTTGGAGTCAATCTTAGAGTAAAGAAAGATGTGTTTCATAAAATATTCTTGCAAGCCTCACCTTCGTAATTTATTATTTATGACCAGAACACTTTGATGGATTTTAAGAGCATTTCTTCTTCAAAAGCTTTCCAAGTTCTGAAGGATCAACTCCAAAAGTCACAAGCAGAGTTGGACCACTGCCGAACACTATTAGAGAAATTACAGGTAGTCACTGCTCAGCATAATTTACATGTCATGTAGCAAAGAGCCTCAGCTATGTAATGTTTGGCTAAGCTTCTACTTGCCTTTTCAGGTCAATAAGGATAAAATGATATGGCAAGAAAGGGAAGTTAATGTAAAAGTTGATCTGTCTGGAATTCCTCATAGGGTATCTCTGAATTGTGAGTCAAGCATTGCAGTTTTAGAACAGAATCGGCAGAAAGTAGTTGATGAAAAGAATATGCTTGCGCTGAAACTTGAAGAATCTTCGAGAGAACCTGGTATGATGATTCTTATTTGACTTTGCTAACAGCATTGAGTTATTCTCTTCTGGCCATATCCAAATATAAATAAGTAAACACTTTCAATGTTCAGGTCGGAACCAAATCATATCAGAATTTAAAGCGCTGGTGTCATCACTGCCAGGAGAAATGGGTGCCATGCAAACTGAATTATCCAAGTACAAGGATGATGCTTCAGAATTGCATTCTTTGCGAGCCGAAGTTCACTCTGTTTCTGATATTCTGGCTAGAAAGGTAAATTTCTTTTTACGAGCTTGTTGAAGAAGTTTATGAGTGTTTTGTGACTGTTTCAGTTAAATTCAAGCTATTCATTTTGTGCTTTACAGGAGCACACTATCAACGAATCATTATGTAGATCTGCTCATGCTGGATCTGAGATAAGGGATCTACGATCCAGGGTACCGATACTAAAAAATTGCTGATTTAACTAGATTTTTTTTTTTGGATTCCATTGTCTTCACCAGCCATCAGGAAATGGCTTGTTTTAGTTAGTTTCTTTAATTTCCGTTCATGTTGTTTTTATGAATTCTTGAACCATTGAATTCACATGCTGTGTAGATTTGTGAACTAAGGCAAACGAATTGCGAGTTGAAGCTCTTTGTGGAAATGTATAAACGCGATTCTACTGATTCAAGGTGGTTTTATTACAGCAGAAATCTTTCATGAAACTACTTCTAAAATTTATCGTGTTCCACTATGTTTGTTCTCCTATTTAGTCTAGAGACCAGATCATCCGAAAAAATGTATTGAGCTTTTAAACGTTGTTTATTACTCACTCCGTAAAGAAATATAAGAGTGTTTAGATTACTACTTTAGTGATCTAAACACTCTTATATTTCTTTACAGAGGGAGTACGTACCAAATTCAGTTGTCCTACTAAAACAAACTTCTACTGTTCTGATGTCCACCCCTTATTGTTTTGTGACAGAGATTTGCTGGAGTCCAAAGATAGAGAATATTGTGAATGGGCTCATGTCCATAGCCTCAAATCTTCTCTTGATGAGAGTAGGCTAGAACGGCGTGTTAAGGCAGCCATTGAAGCTGAAGCAATGTCTCAGCAGAGACTAGCAAGTGGTGAAGCTGAGATTGCTGAATTAAGGGGGAAGATGGAGAGTGCCAGAAGGTACATTTTATTTATACTTATCCGATGTAGTTTCTCTACTGGATATTTGGAATCTCTACACTTTGCTGTGATATGACATCACATGTGTTGAAGTAGGCAGAAGCTGGATACGTCATCTATTTTTACTGGTGAAAAAGGTGCTTACTGGTGAATTTCCTGTGCGTTACAGGGATATTGGTAGTTTATCTGAATTATTGAAATCAAAACATGAAGAAGGTGAAGCGTACCTGTCAGAGATTGAGGTATGTTTCATCTCTACATCTTTGTAAAAAATACAGAAAATCAGCATTCTAGAAATGCTTATTTTTGACGTTTCAGAGTATTGGGCAAGCATATGAAGATATACAAACACAAAATCAACAATTGCTACAGCAAATTATTGAGAGAGATGACCACAATACAAAGGTAATTTTATGGACTCAGTTGCTGTTCTGTGTTCATGTTGATGTATCCTTGTCTTCAACATTAATTAGTGTAATCTTAAACCACCCACTTATGTTCACGATGACTTTGGTTTCACTTAAAGCTTGTTTTTTACTTCAGTTCCCATAACTACATGCCAACAGTAACTTAAATATGCAACTAGAAGGTTTAGATTGCCACCATGATCTTATCCAGGTTTCATGTCGGTAATGGTAATTTTGTCATGATACCCACCAGAGCATTATAATCTCCTGACATCAGATTAACAAAAAAGTAGAGCTGGAGCATCATATTTTTCTTTTGAGCATGGCGGATTAAACCCCTGGTTTATTTGTTGAAACCAGACATATTGGTACTAAACTTCAACAGAATTCTGTTTTGAGCATGGATAATTACTCAAATTGTGCTTGTATAACCAACATGAAACCTGGATAAGATCATAACCAACTAAACTTTCAAGACACATAACCAAATAGCAGGCTTCAAGTTCCCTTCTGCGAGTATCAACTTAGGCTTGATTTCATGAGCACGCACGACCACTTACAAGCTGAATACAAGCTCGCTGGCCCAGTCCGCTAACTCCTTTGTGTTTACAAAACTGGACTAACCAAACCTTTTGTTTTGGTTCAGCATGGTTTTTTCTGGTTTGGTTTTTCGGTTTGGTATAGATATGCACCACCCCAATGCCAGCCATGTGGACCCTGTGTGTGTGGCAGAATTAGTGTGGCATCCTTCCTCTTTGCTTTTTGAACCAGGACAACACAATAAACATCTTGTATCCTCGTCAATTCCTCGAGGCCATTGACCCCGCCCTAACCAAAGCTGTCAGCATCACTACTTGAGTTGATGCCTTGCCGTGAATCACCATGCTCACCTTCCTTCTGCTTGAAAATTTAGGACATTGCCTGCCTCTCCATCTGTGTAGCCTACCCTTCTCCATGCCGCTTCCTTCTGATCTGCAGCAGCTGTAAGGGAGAAGACGCGCTAGGATGGCATCCAAAGCATTCCCATACTGCTTGGAGAGGAAGGCAGACAAGAAAGAGAAGAGGATAGAGGAGGGAGGAAGATGGGAGAAAAGAGGAGATGCAAACGATATATATACTTTGAGCCAATAACCAGTGGCACCCAGACAGTTCCAGGCCACTTCGGCAGTGGGTTTTGATCCAGACTGAGATAAATCTAGGTGGCTGGAGAAATAAAAGGCAAGATGAGGGGGTTGACTGAGACAAGGCCGTGAGTCCAAGTCTCCAATACAATTGGCTATTTTCTATATCTATTTCTAAGGAACTGATCCTTCCTGTGCCAATCGTCTTTTATGGAAGTAACATGCCAATGCTGCGACTGTGGGATTAGTGCTGATCTCTTGTTGATGTGACAAACTGGTATGGTAATACTCCCTCCGTTCCGGTTTACTTGTCGTGGTTTTAGTTCAAATTTGAACTAAAACCACGACGAGTAAATCGGAACGGAGGGAGTAGATGGATAACACAAGCAAAGGTCAATGATGACTCTTGATTTGGTCGTGCAGGGAGCAGAAACTGGCATACTTTGCGCAAAAGCACAAGAATCTGTTCCATTTTCTTTGGCAACATCATCTTCCATGTCATTTTGTTGCCAGCTAGTCAGTTCGACTATTCTGCAACATACTATTTTATCACTTTATTTTTACTGACTGGTATGATGGTCTTTGCTTGAATAGTCGAACTGGCATGATGGTCTGTCTAAATGGTGAACACATGCTCAAGTTGGATGGAGCAATATCTTGAAAATAAGTAATGTTTTTGTTGTAGTCAGTCTGCCTACATTCCCAACTTCTGTTCAGCAACAAATGACAGCTACGGTTATACAACAGAGAGAAGGTGTGGTGCTACTGCTACATACTGAAGTTGTGTAGAAAACTTCAAATTATTAATGTGTGCGCATATTTGGCTGATTAATCAGCATAGCTTTCACAAGAAAAACCGACCATGGTCATTCTAGAGTCATGTTTATCTTTATTTGTCGGAGATAGAAATATAAGAATCTTTTTGAACAGTGACCTGTACTGCACCATCTTATGATTACATGGTACTACAGATCTTTATGGAAGGCGTTAAGGTGAAACAGGCACAGGATACTTTGCATTTAGGGGTATGCAACCTGAACAGGAATTTACGGCAGGCAAAGAGCTTGATGAATCTCTACAAAGATAAAGTTGCCCAGTTAGACGACAAGGTAAATTTTAACGCATAAAAGGGAGAACATCATATTTTAGGGAGTGCTGAACGCATGTTTTTCCTTGCCCATTTGCAGTTAAAAGTTTGGTCAGAGCAGATAGGGAGACTTTCAGAGGATGGACGGCGACATTCTGTATCTTCAGGCAATGCTCAACGAAAGCTGGTGGATCTACAGGGAGAGGCTCAACAATTGAGACCGTCAATGGATGAAGTACAAGCCAAGGTTGGGAGGAATCGACTAGAAGTTGCTGGGTTGCTTGTAGAACTAGAGAAGGATAGGTAATTGTTTACAGAGATTTATTCTCTCCATACTCCATGTGACTTCCAAGTTTCTTCGTGTCACAAGTTGAATGATGTTTTCCAGGTTTAGTAAGAGGAGAATTGAGGATGACTTGGAATCGATGTCAAGGAAAGCTAGTTCTCTTAGAGTGAAGACAGAAGCCTCGTCGTTGTTGGAAAAGGTTCATCAGGAGGTCAATGAGTACAGGGGAATATTGAAGTGCGGTGTCTGCCGCGACCGACAGAAAGAGGTGAATAGTGCTGCCTTCATTTCTACTCCCTCCGTTCCAAATTACTCGTCGCATAAATGAATGTATCTAGAACTAAAATACATCTAGATGCATCCATACCCGCGACAAGTAATTCGGAACGGAGGGAGTATAACCTTGGCCACCATATCAAATCTGACAACTCGTTCTTCGGTGCCGTTTAGGTCGTGATCACCAAGTGCTACCATCTTTTCTGCAATGACTGTATACAGAAGTTGCTTCGAAACCGCCAGCGAAGATGTCCTTCCTGTGGATTAAGCTTTGGGGCCAATGATGTGAAGCCGATTTATATATGATGCTGCAGTGGGGTCATCTAGGACAAGTTACTGAAGTGCCGCTTGCTTGGTTCAGTGGAAAATGTAGCTTATCTAGCCAAATTTTTGCAAAGAGGACCCATAGCATACTTTAGGTTGCAGGCACAATGCCCGTGGCTTGTGCTATGCCAGTGTGGCTTGCCGCTCCTTTGTAAAGCTTGTAATTTTCTTGTTGATGAAATAGCTGGTAGTCTTAGTTTGCATATACATTTTATTATTCTACTATTTGATATGTCAAGGAAAGGGGGTTAATGCAAAAATATACTCCCTCCGTTCCATATTAGTTTGTACTATATCAGAGGCAACTATTATGGAATAGAGGGAGTACCATATATTGCATGCTTGGAAAATCTAAGGCGCATATGTGTGCACCTTTCGCTACCCGTGCCGCGGCATCCCTCCCGGTGGGATTTCCCCCTTTGCCCTGTTTGGTTAGCCCTGCCTTGGTTTGGACCGGGCCCGAAACTTGGTCGAACAACCTCTTCAATTTCTGTCAGCATTACAAATCTGGCTGGGTTTACACCTCGCATATTCCCTCCCAAACCATCGGGTTCCACCGGGGTAAAATCCTCTCCCCTACATCTTGTGAATTCTACCTGAATGTTGTGCCAAAAGAAAAAACCAAGGCACTTCTCCTAACCCTCTTGCTCATGAATATGAGGCAGCGGTGGCTCAGGTGGGAGGGGTGGAGGCAGCGCAACGGTTCGGAGAAGATGGCGGCAGCGTGCTTCCTTGCTTTCTCCTCCCTTGGACGTGTTCAGGGTTTTCCTTGTTTTCTCCTCCCTCAGATGTGTTCATCGTCAGGAATTTCTATGGTTTTTGATGCAGATATCAACACATAATTTTCTCTTTGCCGAGAGCAGAGATTTAATTTGTTGTTGCGGAGAGCGCAAAGTTTTAATTTGTTTCTGCAGATAGCAGTTTTACTCTTATGAAAATTATAGTGTAACAGTCAACCTAAGCCTAAACCTAGCTGTGTTGGAGATGCCTTGTTGTTCTGGGCCTAAAAGCAGCAAAAAATCTTCTATATCTAAATAGCTAGCACCCATTAACCTTCCATTTCTCTCAACATGTAAGCATTCAGCATGCACATGCATGAGAAAATGTCCACCACAACAGTTAGATAAATGTTTCTATTAGTTTTGGGTTTTGATGTTGTCTCTGATAATAACCATTTTTGGTTGTTTAGCAGTCAAATTGTAGATTTGCTGTCGCTGTTTAAACTTTTAAACTAAACATTCGCATTTTGTAGTTAGTACAAGGTTTTGTTCTGTGAAAAATGCTTTACTAATATATTTGTGCTTCTGCAGGAGACTCAGTCTATACCTCCGTTTCGAGAGAAAAATAGCCTGAGAGGCAAATCTATGAAACACTATACTCTTACAACAGGTTATGCATGTGCAAAGGTAATTGCTCCTACCATCATGTTTAACATAAAACTGTATTGATTACTTCTGGATTTTGTTCACTTCTGTAACTTTTAATATTTCACATTAATGTTACACTCCCATCATGTTTAACATAAAACTGTATTAATTACTTATAGTATGACTGTATGAGACCCATTATGAGTTGTCTTATTGCAGGGGTCTCTGTTCGAACGCAAGCCAGAGAATGCCTCTGCCACCATTAACTCCTTCACAGGGTTGGTTGCATAATTCCAATTGCTAGATATTTGTTGGCTCTTCGTCACTCTTAATTCCCTACCATCTTTGGTGGTTCCTGAAGCCTTTCTATCTCATGCTATTATTGGCATTTTTTGAGTTTGTACAAATATTTTCACAACTCTAGGAAATCTTGATGCCAAAAGAGCTGTTAGTCAGTTCTTATGCAATCGCCCATTTGCCTGATGACAACTTTTGAGTGCCTGTAGCACCTGCCTGATCAGAAGAAACCATTCGTGAAAGAAGAACTCCAAAAGCTTGCCGCTGAATGGCCAACAAAGGTGATGAAAAGGCAGAAGAAAGATGACATGAAGAGGAAGGTGAGATTGATATAGACGATCTTTGGTTCCATTGTAAGTAGTCTGTAGCTCCTGGCAGGATTATTTTCACCTCGCGACTCTAGTCACTAGCTTATATACTCCAGCCTATATGTTCCCACACCGTTCTTGTAGTACGAAAGATCACTGGGTACCTGAAAAATACATTGATATCTGCATCCGACTAGTAACAAAATCCCTACATATTCCATGCAATGTAGGAAGCTTTGACCCCTCAGCCTGAAGCAGTGTACGAGAAGGAACACCGCTGCTGGATTGCTCGGCGCCAGTTATAAATCTTGCAAAGTTTGTTGCACTTTGCCATTTCTCATGTGTAATCCCAATCTACCATTTAATTTTTTTGCATTTGCAATTGGCCTCGAAAAATACCACTCTAATTGATCTGGCTGCTGAAGGAAGAAGATGGAGATATATCGTTATCCATGGAGAAGCTTAGAGAAATTTAAAACATTCAAGGCTGTCAGTGGTATTGGCATTCTCAAAATGTTTTCAGCTAGTACAAGAATAACAGGTGCAGGTTGTTGTGTTAATCATGCCGCTAACTCTCTCCTGTGTCAATCTAGTTGTAACGATTGTCTTGGGCTCTTGACATTGATATTTCTCTCGTGTTGCTCTTCCTGTAGGATCAAAGTTATCGACAAAGGGGGTGAATGAGAGATTTTAACAAATTCTTCAAAAATATGAAATACTTAGGTATACTGAAAAATAATGATGGCTATAAAGCAGTTCTGAGGAATTTTAGTCGTACGTGAAATAGAGAAACTTAGAGGCATGCAACAAAACTACCAAGTATGAATCAAAACGGTAGAATAGGAGTTGTGCATTTTGAATATCCAATTCTTCATACCGAAGAATAGAGGCAAAACGGTATGAATCATGCATCCACAAAAAGTAACAGGCCTGAACCATTTTAGGGCGATCCTTTTGTGCCATCGGATTTTCTTCACGAGGATTCCAGTTTGGTGACATTTTGTGCCGCGAATACTATATCTCGCTTACAGCGAGTATAGCAGCCATCTCGCCTGAAAAGTGCGGGCATATGGCCCCTTAGTGCAACTTGTTCGTGTCGCTATAGTTTGCTCTGCTCTAGTTTTTTAAGGATTTTTTTTACCTTTTCCTTTCTTTTTCATCTTTTTTTTCACTCGTTTTCTTCCTTACTTTCATGGTCTTCACTGATTTTTTTTCTTTATTTCCTTTGGTTTTTTATTTCTTTCTTGGTTTTCTCCGGTTTTCTTGTTTTCTTTGTTTCTTTTTTTGTTTTCTTTGTTTTATTCTTTTTTTCCTTTTCTTTGTTTTATATTTTTTTCCCTTTTTTAAACGCATGTCTACATTTTTCTTACACCATGTACATTTTTCGTATACATCAAGAACATTATTTAAATACATGTTTAATATTATTCTAAATACATGATTAATATTTTTTAAAATATATGTTTTGATGTCTATTGTTGTCAAATATATTGTTTTCATATACACTGCATGGTATACATCTAAATATTTTTAATACACATGATTAACATTTTTAAAATATATGTTTTGATCTCTACTTTTTTCGTACACATTGTACATTTTTGGTATACATATGAAACGATATTTTTACACATTTTAACATTTTCCAAATACATTATTAACATTTCGTTTTAATTATACGTTTTGATGCCTATTGCTTTCATACATATTTTACATATTTTGTATGTATTTTAAAAATATTTTTATACATATTTATCATTTTTCATATACATGATTACATTTTTAACTATAATTTTTATGTCTGCTTTTTTCGTACACATTGTAAATTTTTTGTATACAAACCAAACATTTTTATACACATTTTAACATTTTTCAAATACATTAATAACATTTTGTTTTCAAATATATGTTTTGATGCCAATTGTTTTCATACGCATTTTACATGTGTGGTATATTTTTAAAATATATTTTTATACATGTTTAACATATTTCATATACATGATTAACATTTTTCTAAATATAAGCTTCGATGTCTACTTTTTATATGCATCAGGAAAAAATATTAAACACGTTTAACATTTTTATTGAATTACATGAACATGTTGTACATAGTATAAACATATTTTAGATTTTTTTAAGTGGGTGAACATTTTTAAAATGACAAGACATTTTTTTAAAGCTATCAACATTTTTTAAGTTACGCTAGCAAAACAATTACACCCCATTAAGTTTTTTTGAGTTCTCCATTTTCCTTGAAGTAAGTATGATATTTTTCAGTTCAAAAATAAAAATAAAATTTTTAAAACGAGAAAAAGAAGAAAAAAAGAATGACAAGCAACTGTAGCGAACGAGCGAATGCAGCGAAGAGCTGATATGGTGGCCCACTATTACCTCTTTTCAGGCGATCACGTACCCGTTTTGTGCTGGCCATTTTGTTGTAAAAACAGGCCGGTAACAAATGGGCTAAGATGTGAGCCCATTTAGAATAGCACATCCGTGTGCCTCAGTACTAAATCACCTCAAAAAAGAAAAAGGAAGAATAGTACTCTCTTGACTCTGAAGGTAGACTGTAGTATGTTCATATTGAAATTTAATGACTACACCTCACGTATCCCAAGAATTGGCCTCGCGCTGCCGTACTAAGGCCCCGTTCGGATTCCCTCCCACTCCCCAACTCCGCTCCGGAGCGGAGTGACATGCAGCTATAATCTGAGGAGTGGCTAGAATGGCGCTCCACGCGCTCCACTCCGCAGTGGGGGAGTGGACGGTTGCCGAACAGTGCCTAAACCTTTGTCTTAACATCATAACATAACATCATGCCAAACCAGACTTAGTGAAAGGCAACACTATCCTGGCAGGAAAGGCAATATGGCATATGTTGCATCGAAGAGACCTCATCAAAGCAGAACATTACTCTAGGTAGTTGCTGATATATATACCCATCTACTAGAAAGTAGAAAGCCGGCTGTTTCCTTCACGTTAGCTGAAGAGCTAGCGTAGCACCAGTAGGAAACATGGGCGGTAATAAAGAGTAAAGAGAAGAGATAAGGGGAATGAAAGGCAGGGGATCAATTAGTGAGAAGTAGCCACCGCTACCGCTACGTCCGCCGGCTCAGGTTAGGTTAGGTGCGGTGCGGATGGACGGGAATAGATGCCGGTCGACGTCAGGACGCAGTGTCTGCCGCCCGCAAGTCCCGACGAGCCCCGCCACCGGGTTGGATTGGCCGAGGCCATCATCGCCTCCATGATCACAGCTCAGATTCACTCGCCCGATGCCCCCTAGAAGCACTCCTAGGACGGATCGACGGCTTCGACTGGAAACGACGGCCACTGTTGTCATCCCGATCATGTTCCTCGGTACCCCTACTGCTACCACACCGTGCGTGCCTCTTCCACTGCCACCTGAATCCGGAGCCCCACTCCCGACTCCACAGCTGCACATCAGAAAGCGCAGAAACGCGGCGCTTTTCCAAAAGTTTCCAAAAGGACAAAGGCGCGCTTTCTAGCCCCGCCCCAGACCTTTTTCCAGGTTTTTCCAAGTCCAAAACCCTAGAAAACGGTGAAAACCCCCCTCCGGGAGCCCGAAGGTCAAAGCGCCGCACTTGTGGTTTGTTTACTCGTGACAGGCAGGCAGGCCGTGCGCCACGCCGCACCAGCCTGTTCCTGAGAGCTGCGAGACGCATCGTCGGAGAGAGTCTTCAGTCAGAGATGGGGGAAGAGCTTGCTGTGGGTGGGCCGGATGGGGATGGTTGAGCGGCAGAATCCGCCGGTGCCCGTCCAAAACCCCGTTAATAATGGGCGCCATGATTGCCCAGATCGGTCGACCGATCCGTCGTCGCTGCTGCTGCTGCTTGTGCTGCTCGTGCGCCTTGCTTTCGCAGGCCAACAGTGGCTCTCAGGCTCCCCATGCCGTATCCGGCTCGCACTGTGCCGCTGCCGTCGTACTCTACTCTACTATACTCGCTGCCTGGCGAGTGGCGAGACAGCGTCTGGGCCGGGGGATCCCGTCGCCATGCGGCCAGCGCTCGTTTGGGCCCGCCGCGGCGAGGCTGGCGCTCGTTCGTTCCTTCCGGGAAGCCGGCCATCGCGGAACAGCGGGAGATGGACGCCCGGTCGCCGGCTCCACGGTGACACCCCATCGCTGATCCGCAGCAACAGTGACGTCGCCGGCGGGACGACGATGGGCACGAGGGCGGGCGCCCACCGCACGGATGTTCGTCCACACGCGCGATGCTCTGTCACGGTCCGACGGACGGACGGAGGGAGGGACCCCGCCACCCCGACATCTCCATCCCATCCCGTGCGCCTGTAGCGCACCGCACGGGCCGCGCATCCTGGCCGTTTGATCCCAGACCGCGACGCTCGACAGACACCGATCGGCCCATGTGCACGCTCGGGTCGTGTGGCGCGGGGACTCCCATCACGCTGCGCGCCAAGGCCCCCATCAGTCGTCTGCTTGGTGCTTTGCCCGTTGGAGCCGTCCGCTCGAGCGACCCCCGGCCTCTCTTCTCCACCGGCACCATCATTGGACATCAAGAGAAAACGGACGCTCAACCCATGGAGTCCAAGCACTCGAGACCGCATCGATTTTCCGCCGCTTGCTTCTGCCGCACTGCATGCGGTACAAGATTTTCATCACCTGCAAGCCTTCTCTCGTGTAATTATGCCCACCCCGACAGAGCACACATGGCAGTCGGTCGGTCGTCGCAGCCCGCAGAAGCGTCTGAGATAGCGTTCAAAATCTTTCATTGTATATGCGGTGATTTGTGAACAGTTTGTCAAAAGATTCGCGGCGTGGTTGCCGGTCGCTCTTGAGAGGGCAGACAGTGACGCGGGCCGATTGTAGTTAGAGGCCAAGCCGCCAAGGTGATGGGGATTTTTAATGGTGAGTCCCCGTAGGGCAATCTAGCCTACTGATTTTTCTTTTTTGGCTGAGAACATGCTCGACTTTGGTCTGTAGCTAGCTGTTAAATTAGTCGTCCTATCTTGATCGGTAGGCCTAAGACTATTGGCCATTGCGTCATAAGCCATTGAATAACTTGGCAAGCTGCATGGGCTCTGCTCATTTCTAAGTCGGACGACCATGCGGCCATTCCACAAATCTTCCTCTCCTTTGTCCTTTCGTTCTTGGAGAGTCGTCATGTGTGCAATCGCTATATAAGTTACGA